TGCAATTTTCACTCCTCAAGATTATGTAATCATTAAATGGAAGAGAGAATAAAGACATCCAGTTACCAGGATGATTAAGAAAAGATTGATAACTGCTCCTTTCTGAACACAGAAATTAGGTTTCAGCAGTTTGATCGAGATTGCTTCAGCGAAATTTGTGTAGAAGTGAGCCATTTTGTCTATTGATAATTTGAAGGCTCTTGCAATATCTATCCCGTGACCTGTAATAATAAGATATCTGGCAATGACACTATTTAAAGCGTTTCTACCCTTGAAACGTAGAAGTTTTAGTACATGTTGAGAAAGTTGGAGGTGCGTCCTTCCTTCTGTTCTCCCAATGTAACTACTCCTTGAGATACAGGTAAATTTGTGCACACAGTTACAGTTAAGATGTGAAAGGTATCTGCCGACTTTTGACTGCACCAAAGAGCATGTTTTTCGATAAACAGACCTTTTTCTCAATATGATTTGTTTGACATTTCAGTCTTAACATCTTCCATACTTGTTAATGAATCTTTGAGGGTAATTATTTTTTTCAACATCTTTTCAAGAATCATAAATTCTCCCTCTAATTTCTATGTCGACCATATTTCCTTGACTCTGTAGAACAGAGTTTTGACCAGTGATCTTCTGTAAATACTTGGACGAAAACTATTAAGATGTAAGTATTGTCCATTCTGTGTTGGCTTTCGGTAAATCCGCCTCTGGAGACTACCAACTTCCAGGTGTTTCATGGCAATATCAAGCAAATAAAACTTTCACATCATTTTCATTCTCCATAGTAAATTCTACTATGGAACTAAGTTAGGCAATGAGAAAACTTATAAACCCCAGTCACAGAAATTAGTTAGTAGCCACCAAGATTATGATTACAAGTCTAAAACTTGATGTATGATTACTACTCATTTACTAGAAGTAATTTTTGATCACTGTAGCATAAATTTCCACTTTAATTATAGAAAATCACATCTTTATATGTGGCGGTATAAATGAAATCATCAGAAATGCTGATAAATGTTCTATGAAAAGCATAAATCTTATTGTCACTTTCCTACATGATGCATACCAAAAAACTTTTTTTTAAATACGGGTTATATTTATTCATATTTCTGTGTATTATACTGATGGTATCCAATAAAACTATTATACCTGTAGAGCAAGTAACAAGGTGATTTTTCTATACTCCCATAGATTCAAAGGTAAGGGTCAATAATACACACACACCCACACCCACAGAAGACACACGTACACACATACACACAGAGGAACAATTGGCGGAAGTCATAGTGAAGGAGGCATTCTGTTTCTTTTTTCAATACAGTTTCTATTTTTCTATAAAAAATATTTATAGATTTTTTTTTTCACAATATATTCGTACTGGTAATGAACTTCTTGCCCGTATTCTCTGAAAAATGTTAATCAAAACAATGAATGTTATAGTGGGGTTACAAGTGTGTTGCCTGTATGTGTGTGGAGGGGGGGTGAATGGTTAGTTGAGTAGGGAAATATACATCCGTGTGTACTGATGTGTTTGTGTCCCCTATTCTAGAATATTCTCTATTACTATTTTCTTTAAAACAAGTTAACTGAGTATATCAGAAGGAATGTAGCAATTTGGAATTTGGAATATACATCGAAAACATTAGAAAAACAGAGATTTATTTATTCTTTTACAACTATAGGAGAAAACCAACATGTCGAATTAGTTAATGATGTAACAAGTGTGAATAATATTGTACTGAAAATAATGTTAGGGGAGGGGAGGATGCGCAGGAGAGTTAATCATTGAATAAAATAGTTTTGTTCACACTGACTTCTCCTTTAGACATAAACGAGATCGACAAACGCTAGTAAGTACTCATGAAGCCTGTAGTATTGAAGGAACTAAAACTGAAACTAAGTCTAATGCAAAATACCTTGGACTGGTTCTATCTTCTGACCTTACATGGTCATCTCATATCCTGACGATTTCTAAGAAAGTGTTTCGTCTAACCTGCTGCATTAAGAAACTTAGACTATCTGGAATCACCCAATCTCTGCTTTCACAATATGTCAACTCTCGTATCTTATCTATTCTACTTTACTGCTCTCCATTAGTCTTTCCTGGATTACTGATAAAGGACTATACCATTCTGAGAAGGATGTTGAAGGTAGTTAGTAGGACTAAAGGTGTATATAACTCAATCAGCCCGTCACTACATTAGTAGAAAGGCATGTGAATACATGCGAAAAATGGTTTAAAACTATACTCTCCGACTCCCAACACCGCCTCTACTCCAACTGTCTCCTTGTATCTCATCAGGTAGAACCAGAAATCAGTACAAAATAATATATGCTCGTACAACCAAGTATAGGAACTCAACGATACCATATTTGGCCGGTGTTCTAAGTGATAGAGACAATGTGAAGCGCGAAACTTATAACTTGCTTTGTTGTTAATAGCATAATTTTTGGCTCTTTTATTTTTTTCTCTTATTTGTATTCTATAGTGAACACCTTCTTAAACTTACTTAGCTGCCTAAATTATTACCAGTGGCTTACTTTTTTGTACTTTATTCTATTCCTTCTTTTATGTATCTACTGGTTCCGACTATATTAGCACTATGAGTATTACAAAATTGTCCTGTCATTAACCATCATGTAATATTAGTTTTGTGGTTGTTCTTTGTTCGGCACTATTTAACTGACAATCTTGGTTGTAGATGCCATTATTACCATCTTAAAAATTTTGTATTATGCAGGATTACTCACACTACCACAACAAACACCGCATTAGAGCAGACAATAAAAACCCTGAAATGTTTATTTTATGATTGTTTAGTGTTGTTCAATCAAATTAACTGATCATCTTGGCGATAAACATTCTTGAATATCATTTCAGAACTTCTTGTATGATTATAGCTGTTACTGTTCACCATGCATAAACATATCATAGCTTCCACTACACAATACTGAGATATTATTTATTATGTTGTTTATTTTCCATTCTACTTCTTGATATTTTTTCGCATTTTTTTTGTTATATTTGTGTTTGTTTTTTGTTGTTTTTTATATTTTTTTGAAATACTCCTTTTAAATGTTTGATAAAATTAGATGCAATATTGTAGATAAGTGCTGAAAATTCCACACTGTACCACTAGTACTGTTTCTGGAATAAAGCAGATTATTATTATTATTATTTTTAATCGAACAGTTTCAGCTCATTTCTTCTTCATGATAATAACAGAATAAGGTAAACAGTGGCCATTCGGTTGATGATCAGTCGCCTAGATTAGAAGATTCCTGTGACATGCTTCTTTCTGTGTGGCTGAAACGTTCCTCAGTGGATGAATTAATAAGATTTTGAGTGTGACATTGCAATCTTTCTAATTTAGGGTACTTCATATAAGAATTCCCCTTTTATGCATTTGAGCAAACAAAGAACAAATGTGGGTGCAGAATAACATGAGTCCATTTTATTTCGTTGCCTCTCATCATCTGCTGCATACAACCCATAATCTTTAAAAGTCAGAGTAAAATGTTAGCATACTTTTAGTGAGGTAAAAAGATCAGAACGAGAAGGTAGCTGAAGTGTAAGTGCGGTTACAAGGCAAGCTGGCTCGTATACCATTCAGCCACTGGGCTACGATTCATTGGCCAGTCCATGAATTCTAACTTCTAACCATTCGTGATTTAGTGCGATCACCAACTAATATCATCGGCGGGAAATCTATCCTCACACTTGACTAGATGAACTTTAGTGGATGAGTACTGCTGAAGATTCCCAAAACTAGAATGAAACAGCTGTCCAGTACCCCAGTGCTGGTTTTCAATGGTTCTCTAAATGATATAATCAATCCGTGGTCAAACTCGAAAAACAAACCTAATAGAATACAAAAATTAGTAGAATATAGGATATAAGAAAACAAAATAGCCGGAGAGAGAGAGAGAGAAAGGACGAAAACATTCTCCGAGATTAAACAGAAAATTTGTGACAAACTTCAAGTGTTGATTTGTAGGTATTTGATTAACCTCTTGGTAAATTTCATCACTAAGTGATACTAATTTGAGAACCAGCGAGAGTCAAGAGGCATTGGATATGTGTTTCTTCCGAGTGCTGGACTCATCAGCGGTACATATTCATCATAATATTATAGATTGAAATTGTGAACTTCGTGCAAGGACTTAAACACTACACCCTCCACCCAAAACGTCGAAATCTAACGGCTTTTGAAACCGAACTTCCGTTAGCTTGAAATGCAGCCCATTATCATCCAACACATTATAATTAGTTAGCTACTTATAACTAACAGACTCTGGGATGAATTTCCTAGAGTTCTAATGAGAATTTGTGATCTGTGGGGTCCCCAAGCTAGATGCGAGGAAAGATACTCTCTGGTGATACTTGAAGACAGTGGAGTGAATTGACAGTTGTTTTGTTCTAACTTGGGATTGCTCAGAAGTGCTGACTCTTTGCACTACTGGGGAGTGAACTCAGGCTTACCAGTTTTAGAACTGAGTGCATTACCATTGGTGAAGAAAACCAACTTGAGGTACAACACATCTAATATCTGGATCGATTTCCAGAAATTTGACGAAGAATTGTAATCTGTAACATTTGCCCAATCTACTGAATGGCAGCATGGTTATAGCACTAATTGAAAGAAGTTTGAGTTAACGGCTGATTGACTTTTTCACCAAAAGGCTGAATAGTATCACAGTCGAGTCATAACCTGATTGTACCTTAGTTTGACCCCTGTCGGAAGCCACCGCTAGCGAGGTGAGAACTGGGACCAAAACACTGCCTCCTGATCCTTAATAGTTATTTAACTTATCTCAGGTTGTTCAAAGTAAATCTATTTTCGAGGCGATCGAACCTCTATTAAAAAACTAACATCTGAGATATAATTCGTTTCATTTTAAAGTTTAACTAATACCTCATCGCTTTTCCCTTCTTTTCTTCTTTTCCTTATGCCTTACCAACAATATTTACTTCATTAACAAAATCAAAATCAAAACAGGCTCTGGACAAATACAACTGTGGCAGTTTCTACTGGAGTTATTATCAGATTCGAAAAATTTAGCCTGTATTACATGGGAAGGTACTAATGGTGAATTTAAACTAGTCGATCCAGATGAAGTGGCTAGACGTTGGGGTGAACGTAAATCAAAACCAAATATGAATTATGATAAACTTAGTCGTGCACTACGTTATTATTATGATAAAAATATTATGAGTAAGGTAAGTTCAAATGTTGTTTGTTGTTTTTTTTTGTTGCTGAGGTTGTTATTGTGATCTCTCAGCTGGATGATTTGATTGGTGGTTAGCGTTCATTGTTCTACTAGACAACATTTTCTGTGCTAAATTCACTGTAAAGTGGGTGCTCAAGATGCTCCACGGATGGAATACCCATCCTTCCTGATGAACATGAGTGTGATCGGTCTCTTTCGGAGTATTTTATAATTGAATTTACTTATATTGTTATTGATCCTTTCTTTGACTCCTAATGTTCACTTCCTGCTGAAGTCTCCACTGAAGATATATATTATCAGCAAGTGAAGCGGAAGCTTCGCAATTAAACCATCCAGCTCAGAGAATATAGCAGTGCCCAAAACATTCACGTATGGTGCAAATCTTCCCCACTGTTCCGGTATGATTATTTTGTTTTATTGGAATGACAATGATGATACTGACATCAGTAAACATTGTAAGCCACTTATGACAGTATATTCCACACTCTGAGTCACTATTCCAACTGCCGCTCATCATTATCTGCATCACAATTATTCTATGGAGAGTTTTGAGGAGAATTTGTACACTGAGAAGTACTCCTACCTGTCGAAAATAAAAGTCATCCAAAGAAAGATGAAACACTTGACAGGTTTTGTGCCCTAGTTCGACATGATACTAGAGCTTCAGCAACCACGATCCCCTATAGAATTGGACTCAGCGCATTCATATGTCATAGAAATTAAGTTACTAGTTAGTCATAATGTCACAATACAGGTACCGTTTCGTCAAATTTTTCCTTCTAATGCTTAATTGTCATCCAAAGTCAATGAAAATGAAGTATCCTCAAAGTCCACTTGGTTTTCAACTGTCCTGTAGTTAATGCTGATCTGTGACTTAAAAAACTCCTTTGAAATGAATCGATTTCATTAAGCGTTGGTGTGATTACGAGATGAAATGATTCAGAGAACCATTAGGAAACCAGAGTACTGGAGAGATGTATCGAAACTAAGCTCGAGACTCTTCATCAGCACTCACCCACTGGACTTCGAAATAAGGACCTGTCGGCTACGATAGAAGCTTGTAGACCCAATTGGCTACTGAGACCCAATCCGAAGGTCGCTGTATTCCAACTTCTTTAAATTCCCGTACATATAGCTCAACCACCGACCAATGTCATGGCGAGTAACTGTTCTTTTACCTTTTGGGCACAACTTCCCATATAGAGCCAGTTGCTAGTGGGCATCAGATTAATTACCAAGTTACAAACTTTCATCATGACCTGACATCAGTTAGAGAACCATCGGAAAACCAGCTGTTTCGTCATAGTCTTGGACTTTTCTCAGTGCGCACCCTCCCACAGGTATCAAACCCAGGACCTTCTGGTTACAAGGCGAGCTCGTAGACCATTAAGCCACTGGGAACCGACCTAATGGTCAGCCCATGAATTCTAACTTCTGTCAGTTCACGATTTAGCGCGACCATAGCCAATGTCTTCGGCGAGTGTTGTCCTTACACCCAAACTGTAGCATCCTACTGGTCATTACTTCTCACCAAAACTCCAGGTGAATAGGGCAAGTCGCCAGTGAGCATCTTATCGATATTCAAGTGTTGGTTTTTAGGGATTTTATTGATTGGTTACAGGTTTGATGATGAGATGAAATCAGTTGCGGTTGTTTCATAAATCACGAAATGGAAGAACTCGTGGGCCTTTGGATAGCGTCCCAGCAGCCGAATGGTCTATGAGCTCACCTCGCAACCCCAAGGTCCTGGATTCAAACACTGGTGGTGAGTGCGTAACGTTGAGGAGTCCCGAACTAGAACAAAATAGGTGTCTAGTACTCCTTGGTTTTCCAATGGTCCTCTGAATCATTTAACCTCGTGACCACACCTGTAACTAATCAAAATCCCCCACAAACCAACAGGTTACGATGACACTGATGCTCACTAATAGCTGGTCCTATGGAGGAAGTTACCCGGAGTTCTGTGAGAAGTAGTAAACAGTGGGATCAATAAGAGAATTAATTGTATACACACACACACCATAGAATTTGTTGGTTGCTGCGTGTTGATTTTCTAACACAATAAAAGTGAGACAAAGGTAAATGAACGCCTGATCAATATTATGCTTATCCATATCGTGACAGACCTCCATTTCCATAAAACACCGAAGAGCTTGATCTCCTGCAAAGTTAACAATGCAACAAAATTTATGTCTAGATTTCACATAGGGTTCTAGAAGTACCAATAAGACTCTGTGGAGGGAAGGTTATGAAATCTAGATTGTATTAACAACCAGCAGAAAATCAAGTCCCTTAGTTCCTATCGTGTTCATTGGTAGTGATCATTTAGGTGGTTTGCTAAACTATATGGAAATAATACCCTTCCAGGATGTTATAATCAGCGGTCTTACTGTTAAATAATAGTGACCGCCTGATTGACTGACTGACTGACTGGTTTCAACATAGAACTTTGCTCCAATGTACAGCAGTTCCAGTTACCACACTTCACCTAGCACTAAAGCAAGAGAAGAAAATAAAAACAAATGCAAAATAGGGACAGTAAATAGAGATACAAGGCAAAAAGAATAGTAATATGGAAGAAAAATTTAGTTTTGTGGTGAGAGCAGGCTGGTAGCCAATCGGTAGGCATTGATCAACGTCACTGTCAAGGTCACTAATATTGGCCGTGAGAAAATATGAGCAAGGCTGATTCAACAACCAATCACAGCAAACTTAACGTGGGCAAATATGATTCGCAGATAGATGGCTCCACTTTTCGATGGTTACCCGAAACAACCAATGAGAAGCCTGCGTTTGTCTGCTTAACTTCCGAGAAACAACCAATCAGAAGACTGCGTTTGTCTACTTGAATAAGCTATAATAATGTATGTGAAATATATATATAAATACGTGTTGATTTCCGTAATAAAACGATCTGTTGCCAGCCCTTGTCTTCTGTTGTTACAGTTTTATTGAGTACTATAAGTTACAAGTAAATGCATCTGCACCAGCCATTGAGAACGATTTCCAGCCATATCACCTATAGTCTCCAGCATTTATTGGTTCTTATCATCCGAATGACCTCAACCAGGAAATCGATACCTCCCTATATGGCTAGCTTAAAATAACTGTTATGGATTGACTGATGAAGCCATGTTTTGCTTTAACCCTACTAGCTAACTCTTTCCCAACCTGATCTATCCTACGTCAACTAACATTGTCCATTGTCGAGGAAGACGTTGGATGGCTTGAGAAGCATGCGTAAGACATGTCTTACCATCTGCCTCAATCAATGTAACTTTACAGCCCCATCTACTGACTTCCCCTCCAGCTCACCTAGCACTCGACTGATGCCTAACCTCAATATTGATCGCCTTATAACACGGGAGATAGAACGCAGATACCTATGATCAAAGACAGATAGCCTGCCTTTTCATGTCTTCCACTTTCAATGGTTAAGTCTCACAGCCATAAAGGAGGGCGTAGCGGACTGCTGAGCAGTACACCCGCCCTTTGGTCGATAGCCGGATATCATGTCTACTCCAGAGACGGCGTAAACTGGCATAATAACCACCATTTGCAACTTTTAGAGCTTTGCCGGTTTTACAACTGAAGGGTAAATAATATCAACTGGTTTTCCGTTGACAAAGCAAAACACTCTAGGTATTTTCCAACAGTCTAAAATAATGTCGGGTGACCTTACCAGCAGGCTTGCTGTATAAAAAGCTAGTCATCTTTTGAGACTAGACAATACATTTAATTGAATACTGTTTAGTAAATGGATAGCGTGTGTATAAGTGTGTGCTGTCGTAAACTTAACAATAGATATTAATTCTTTTCACTAACCGACACCAGCAGAGAACCATTGAAACCTATGGAATAGTGGAAAGCTGTTTTTCCCTTGTTTGGGACTCTTCATCAGTACGCCCCTAGGACTCAACCAGGAATCGAATCCAGGACCTTCAGATTACGAGGCCAGTCTGTTGACCACCGGCTACCAAGACGAAATCCAATAGCTCATGAGTTCTAACTTCAGCTGATTCACGATATGTGGTGCAATCGTAAAGCTAGTATCATCCATGAGTTATTTGTTCTCATACCCAACATGGTGGACCCATCTGGTCACGACCCCTCACTAGAACTTCAGGCAAATTTATCCTGGTATTCAGTGGTTCTCTAATTGAAGTCAGTACTTGGTTTAACTTTAAATCAATCATATCCTCGCAAATTAATAATTGAGAATTTGTTGTAGTTAGCTTTTATCATGAACCGATATGAATAGATAATCTTCATAGTGGCTGAACAGTCAGCGGGCTAAGTTCACTAATCGGAAGGTCCTTGGTTTGGTCCTCAGTGGGGTTGTATGTGAGGGCTGTTGATGAGTCCAGAAATAGGGAGAAACGCTTGCCCATTACTCCTTGGATTCTAATGATCCTTTAATTGATATGGTTTGTCATCAAGTTTAACTTGAATAATGAATCCTTTGAATTTTGTATTTTGAATTTCTCTTAAATTCTTTTAGATAAATGGAAAACGTTACGCTTACAAATTTGATTTTACCGGCCTAGCACAAGCTATGCAACCGCCAACATGCGGAAATTCCTCCGGCTCTGAAACAATGAATGCGAATTCACAAATGTTATCGTCATTATTGCTACCAAGTGTTTGTCACGGTCTGGGTATCATGAATTCACCATCACAGGCTAATTTAAATTATCCATTAACTTCAAATGCTGGAACACACTACTCTAATCTATTAATGTCTACACAACTGTCTCAAACCTCACCTCATCTGGACATTACTACAAACAGTGCCAGTAGTAATAATAATAATATTAGTGGCAATAATAATACAGGAGCTAATAACATAAGCAATAGTAATAATAGTGGTACTAGTACTAATAGTGAAAGAAATGATTTCGGTTCATCCTTCAATACTCGTTCATTAATCAATAATGCAATCAATCCTGCCCCATCAGATTTATTCCCCTATCCAACAAATCCATCAAGCTACTTTAATACGCCTTATTCGTGTTCATCACCACCGTATAATCCAAGATTAGGCACTGGTCCAATTGATTTCCGATCAAGTCATCACCATCATGAACAACAACAACAACAACAACAACAGCAGCACAGTGTTACAACCGCCTCTAATGCCAGTGGGGCTAATAATAATAACAGCAGTAGCCTCAGGTCAGACTATTCTCTCGATTCCTTCGACTATGGTAATTTCGTGTCGAATAAACCGACTGGAATGCCATATTCCTTCTCAAATGGCCTATACACACAAGAAGTACTGCATTCAGCGAGAATGGCTGCTGCGGCAGCGTGTTGTTTAATCTCACCAGTCAATCATAATACAAGCACAAGTCATAGTGTACCATCGGCTTTGAACAGTAACTGTCTACCTGATGGAGAGAGTGACACCATTGCGGTTGGTAGTGTCGGTCGCCATGGTGATGATGAGAGTATAAACAATAGACTTAATATGACGATGACTACAATGATGAATACAGACAATTTGCTAACAGGAAATCGATATTCACATAACGATTTCAATTCACCGTCAAATCTCCACCGATCTTCACAACAGCATCAAGAACAGGATACACATCATCATCACCACCATCACCAACACAATCAACACCAAGACCAACATTCATTACAATTTGATCAAGAAAAATTAACTCATTTATCTACTACATTCAATGATATACAACATAAAGCATTGCTGAGAAAAAGTTTAAATTTATCACAGGAACAACAATTTCCTATGACTGATGAGTACACATCAGATGAGGTAATAAGAAAACACAAGTTGAACAATGAAAGCATTCATCATAATAGTAGTCCTAGCAATAGTTTAAGTGTATCGAGTGTGTTTACAGCGGTTACCACAAATATGAATCAAACTTCGCATAACAATAGTGATAATAATGAGGCTAATAGATCCATATTAACAAATCCAGTTAATTCAAGCCTAACAACTTCTTCGCCATCTTCTTCATCGCCATCATCTTCATCATTTGCATCGATTGATCATAATAATAATATTAATTTAAATTCAAATTACGCCAGTAGATCAATCAATTCTTTGATGGATACATCGAATCTAATGATTGGATCATGCTTTCCGATGATGAATCAAACATCAACAACAATCAATGGTCATCAAACGAATTCATGGTTTCCACCGTCAACATCAACATCAGCAGGCATAACAACGACGACGCCGTCAAGGAAGAAAGAGGAAGGAGAGGCGGATGAACAGTCAGTCACTCCAGACTATTAATTATTCAGAGTTAAACGATGAATAGACGTACTAATAAATTTTTGAAGTATTACCACTTGTTTCTCTTTTATTCAGGAAAAAGAAACAAAGTTTCGTATTTTGGAGACAAGATGACACTTTTCTTCCCCAACTTATTTCATATTTGCCTATTAAAGATAATTATCCCATAATATATATATATATATATATATATATATATATATATATGTATAACTTCCAAAAGAATATACAATACTTTGGTGCCCGTGTGTGCTTGTGTACCTTTCTTTGCTTGTTTTCACTTATCCTATTGTGATTTATTGAACACATTGAATCGTTTTTTTAAATTGTATACTTATTAATTTAATTTAATTCAAATTTTGCTTGTTTTCTTTGTTTTTATCTTCTTTTGTAATTTAATACTATGATCTCATCCAATGACATTCCAATAATCAGCCACATAAAACACATCAAAGCGGTTTTCGTTTTATCTTCTTCTGTCTCGTGGTTAGTGGTGGGGTGGGATTCGACATAGTGGTCTCCTGTGAGTTGTTGGTATTAGATGGTTGGAGGCAATCGACGGGAAGCCCAACCTTGGACCTAGGTTTCGTGTTAGTTGGCACTCATCAGCACCGAAGATAGGACTAGACACATTACTTTAGTTACTGACTAGTGTGCAATCAAAAATAGTGGCCTCCAGATTACTGGCGTGGCACAGCATCAGCTAGGCTATGAGGTACAGCTGCTAATAAGATTGTTATCCCACACCAATCTCTGCAAGCAATGCCCAGCTGTCGGGTGAATATCTTCTCGTATTAGTTATAATCGCAGTGGATAATAATAATAATAATAATAATAATAAGAGTATAGTAGGTTGTCGACTGACGATGTGGCTATCTACCTAGGATAGCGATGGGCTTCGTTTGATCACTGAATGTTTTGACCTCTCATCCCTCATCTGGCACAACGCCTAGATATTAGTCTTGTAACGTCGAAATATAAGAAAATTGTTAACGGACTTTTTATTAAAGGTTGGCAACGTCAGCAGTCAATAAACTGTTCTGATTGGTTGGCTATTGACCCAAGGTTAAACAATTTGTCCAGTGAGGTTGCTTTATGTCTAGAATGGAAACTAACTCCAGATTTGAGGAGTAAACACTTTTATCACTGCTATTATTGACTTAAAATATTGATTTCAATTTTGGCCTCTTCCTATCAGTCTGCATGTATATACCACACGCCACATATACACTTTTACCTCGCTGTCCAAGGAATAACGAGAGTGTTGGGATTGCTATTGGTGAAATAACAGAGAAGATTGTTAGTCAGTGATAAGGATGAAGATGGTTTGAGGTTGCTTCCTGGCATTAATGAAGTCATTACTGAATATGTCAGCAGGCCTGATTATGTAAACTCCTCGAAGACAGTAAACATTAGTCATACTCACAGTGATAATCACACTATCCACAGGAGTTACGTTTTACTCCATACTGTGACATATTACACTGACTAAACGCAGGTATAGTTAACACAGAATTTGCTTATGATCTATAACGGGATGCTGGCTAAAAGTGATCAGAAGCCTCAGACATGACTTAGTGGAATGATCGTTTTGGTCTGTAAATCAATTTAAATTAAGATTGACGATATGTACTTAAAATAGGCTTTCATCTTCAAAATAAGAAGCAGTAAGATTCAGATGATGTGTTTGTTTTCTAGTGGTTGTTAGTACTGCTGTGGCATGTGCTACTGATAACATTTATCAGTAGTATACAAAAAGAAGTTCATCGGCAGACAGAAATATCAAATAGCAGAGAGATAGATTTGATGTCAGAGAAAGCGAATGATTCAGTGTTGCGGAGGTACTTGGAAGATGTGAAAGGAGCACAAAGAAACACGGTATGAAGGCTAGAAGTAGCACAACATGAAAGATCTGTGCAAATGGTGCGTTGAAGATAAGGTGTACTCAGTTTCGGTATTTAGAGATACCAAACACTCCATACTTATCGCTATATGGAGGGCGATCGTGATGGGATTCTGTAACTTTGCCTATCTTAACTAATAACAGTTCATTAAGACCGTTGTTTTACTGCCGCGCATTGTTGGCGTTTTTCATATACTAGAGGAAGTTGGTCGGTGGAGAACTCTGCCTCCGGTAGATTTGGAATTTAATGGCAATAACGAATTACCCATATTTCATACATTTGGTTCCCTTGATAAATTTTGATAGAGAAAGAAAGACCAGATTTGCAGTATAAAATGATATCATTCTATTTCACAGGTTCTCATCAGCTGCAAACTACCTGAAATTACAATGGTTATAAATAATAACATTTCATACTTCATTGTTTGAAAGGTAATAAAGAAAACATTATAAGGTGGAAGCATCTGGAATATAAGTATTATAATCTAAGTCAATCACCATCAATTTATATACTGTCAAACTATGAAAGAAGAAAAAAAAGGGGGGATGAGAGAAGACAGAAAACAGAAAAATCTAATAAACAGTGTCAGCATAGCAATTGAATTAGAAGCCTTATCTTTGGAATTCAAGTTTCACGTCCCTAAAAGGCACATAAACCGTATAGATACAGAAACACAGTTTGAATACCTATACTATCAACTTTCTGACCTGCAACCTGTGGATGAAGACAAACGAGGATGGCTAAAGTCCAAACTGGTTGATATAGCCAACCAATATCACACATCACCGTCCGGAAAACAAAATATGCTTACTGAGGAGCATAGAGCGGCACTAAGGAGACTATGTGAAAATGATGATATCGTCATGTTTAGACCCGACAAAGGCTCTGGAATTGTTATAATGAATAAAACTGATTATGTACATAAAATGTTGACAATTCTTAACGACTCCGGAAAATTCCAAGTGGACAAAACCAAGAAGGATGCAACAACGTCATTCGAAAATAAAGTAAATAAATGCCTCAAAGAACTACTCATCAAGAAACTGATTGACAACAAAACGTACAATGAACTCAAATCAAAGGGTGGACGACTCCCATTTATGTACGGTCTACCAAAAATCCATAAGGCCAATGTGCCCTTAAGGCCGATATTATCAATGATAAACTCACCATGCCACAAACTAGCCCGATGGCTAGCTGATTCATTGAAGCCAATTCGACAAAAATTTTCAAGTCATAGCTTGGATGACACCTTCCAATTTTCTAAAGAAGTCGATCACGTTGACATATCAGATAAACTGATGGTGTCATACGACGTGACTGCCTTATTCACAAATGTACCAGTGATGGAAACAATAGATATCATTTGTAAGCAAAGAGATCTATTGCCACTACCGGAGTCAGAGATGAAACGGCTACTAATTCTTTGCACAAAAGACATCCAATTTAGATTCAATAACCAATTTTACCGACAAATTGACGGGGTCGCCATGGGTTCACCCCTAGGACCCATTCTAGCAGACATCTTCATGGGCTATCTCGAACAGACAAGACTGAGTGACGCTATCAATGGAACAACATACTACCGTCGATACGTCGATGATACTTTTGTTGTTTGTAACGACATGAGTCATGCATCCGTAATATTTGACCGCCTAAATGAGGTCCACCCAAACATTAAATTCACCATGGAATACGAACACAACGATGAGTTTAATTTCCTGGACCTAAATGTAAAAAGAAGAAACGATGGAACGGTCGAAAAGTCCATCTACAGGAAAGAAACTTGGACCGGACAATACCTTCATTATAACAAGCGGGGATTAGTGAGAACACTTTACGACAGGGCCAGGAAGTTATGTTCGCCTAACAAAGTAGAAGAAGAATTAAGCTTTGTCGAAAAATGCCTTAAAGAAAACGGGTATCCAAAAGGATTTATCCTAAAGTACAGCAAAGAAAGAGATGAGAAAGAGAAATCTCCAACAGTTGAGAAGAAGAAAGTGTTCATTTGCCTCCCATACAAAGGAGAAACCGTATCGCAAAAGATTGAAAAGAGGATGAAGGGAGCAATAAAGAGATGCTTCCCTGCAGCCAATTTGGTGACACTATACAGTACTACGTGCTCTATAAGGCAATCGAAACTGGATAAGTACCCTGCTGATGTTACCTCCAACTGCATTTATAAATTTACGTGTACCTGCGGCAGCAAGTACATTGGAAGGACAGAAAGAAGGGCTTCTATCCGGTTTTCAGAGCATATTCCAAGAAACTTATGCCTAAAAGGAAGCAGATATTTACAAAGTTCAATTACCAGACACCTTGTGGATACGGGTCATTTTGTCGAGATTTCTAAATCCTTCAAAATATTAAACATACAAAGGACAGCGAATCTACTACGATTTGCTGAAGCAATTGCAATCAAACGTCACAGACCAAACTTATGCATACAGAAAGAGAGTGTGGTCAATCTCTCACTCCCTTGGTAACCATATCACTTTCATTACACTGATTAGTCATACACACTAGTGAGCTCAACTCACTAAGCAAGTTTTCAAATTGATGAACCTTGACCTTCTTGAGTTGCTATGTTGACACTGTTTATTAGATTTTTCTGTTTTCTGTCTTCTCTCATCCCCCCTTTTTTTTCTTCTTTCATAGTTTGATAGTATATAAATTGATGGTGATTGACTTAGATTATAATACTTATATTCCAGATGCGTTCACCTTATAATGTTTTCTCTATTACCTTTCAAACAATGAAGTATGAAATGTTATTATTTATAACCATTGTAATTTCAGGTAGTTTGCAGCTGATGAGAACCTGTGAAATAGAATGATATCATTTTATACTGCAAATCTGGTCTTTCTTTCTCTATCAAAATTACGCATATCTTTAATTTTCAGGGAAAATGTCCTCTCCGAAATTTGATCGAATCTTACTTAGTGTCAAAGATAGATGTATTACTGTCAGGTTATTCTGCTTCCAAAAGGATCCCTTGTAAGATTTATTTATTTATTTATTTGTATAAATTGTCATCTGAACAGCAGTCAATGTTCAATTCACGAATAATCTCCTTTCAAGCATCTTGAAAATAAAACAGTTTGTTCGGTGAAGACGTTCTCTTAGGGACATTTATTTCTCCCTTTGGTTGTACGATCGCATTGATGTACAGTTTTATCATGAAAGAAAGGGACAATAAAAGTGATGAGTTGTCACATATAATTTTTACGAGTTGATCATGGATTGATATAAGTTAGAGAA